TTATCCACGTGATCGAACAGTTAGACTTCACTGCCTCGTATCATCTTCAAAGTATGAAGCTAATAGGGTCCAGTCATGACGTGAATCAAGCAGAAGGCAGCCCAACATAAAAAAACCGTGTCTATCGCAGAAATACGTGAGTCTATGTTTCCCTGATGAGACTTTCAAGGGTCTGTCAGTTTTCAATTTCGAACAGCTGAACCACAAACCCTCAGTCCTCACCTTAGTAGCAAAATTGAGACGGCGAAGTAAATCAAGCTCTATTTCTAGATTAAGTATTAAATTCTACATTTAGAGCCTAAATTTCAGTATTACTTGTTCCCACTGCCGACCTGGATGATGGTTCACAGGGGAGAAGAGCATTGTCAGGAATCTCACCTGATCAATATTTATGGAGGATAATTTGCTTAACATGCTATCCCCTTCCTGCAGGAGCATGAGAACGTCTTTAACGCCAAGAGACACTTCCTCATGACTAGGTTCCTTATTTCAGAGCCCTCACCACCATAGACATGTATATACTACGTATAACTAGACTGGATAGTCATAGGTGCGAGAGTGGGGCTTTTTGACGCCATGTTTTTGGGGTCAAAGACAGGCCCCGCCCACATGTCCCATACAAACTTCCCTCTCACATCTCCTGTCTACGCAACTTGCGTTCACCCAGTATCTGTTAGACTTCATGCCCCTAACCAGGACTTCGAGTCCACCAAGTTTCACCTTTAACGGGCAAGTACTTTCACCCACATGTCCCACACAAACTTCCCTCTCACATCTCTTGTCTACGCAACTTGCGTTCACCCAGTATCTGTTAGACTTCATGCCCCTAACCAGGACTTCGAGTCCACCAAGTTTCACCTTTAACGGGCAAGTACTTTCGCAGATCAGGAAGTATGAGGTTGAGGACCATTCTTTGGGAATTATACTTGCAGGCCTAGAGCGAAAACTTCAAGACCGATTCCGAAGTGCCACTGTACTCGTCTCGTTTCTTCTACCAGAATGCCTCCATGCGCCAAACATGGCGGACTGGATTAGTGTAAAGTAAGAAGTACTTGAAGGACCAATAAGTACTTATTAGTGGCCAAAACAAAAGCCTACTTGACCGATTTCTATAAATCACATATTGCCAGACTCATCTCACACTTGGAGGTGCACCTTTTCGGAGTCTAAAACACTGATCTGATACCGAAAGTAGTAATAAGGTACTACTAGGCGGTACTTTATGCACAACATACAGGCAAAGAACAAAAATAATTGGATAATTTTAATAAATGGACAACTGGATGGGTCTTCTTGAGACCATTGTCTCTTTTGACATTCTCATATCAAAGTGCTTAAAGAAGTTGATAAGGAAAGCAACAACTTGCATTGAAAACTTCTGGACTTGCTTTGAAATGGATGTACATCATGTATTCAAGGTGGCAGTGATATTTTATTTAGGGATGTCCAGAAATGATCTAATACCAATAAAGGTGAAGTGTAAATTGATATTTAAAGAATGATGGATAAATTACTGGACAGAATTTGATTGAGTGAAGGTAACATTACTTTTTTTTTATCAATCTGGAAGGGTGACTTTTCCGAGTAAGAAATGATGAGGCACAGCTGGATTTGCCTTAGTGTATGGTGTGCCTTATGGAGGTTTCATGTACTGACTACTGAAATGACTAATATGTTAGTACTAGTAAAAACATCACTTTGGAAGGATAAAAAGAGATTACTCATTGAGGTCCAACAAACGAGACTAAAAGCCTGAAACTTGCATACATTATATCCAATACAATAAGAGTTTGGGGCGTTTGTTTTCATGACTGCTCATCCAACCTTGGAATGTTCCCAACCCTGGGCAAGGGACTCAAGCTAAGTGAGTGGGATGGTGAGCATCTTGTGACAAAGCTGCACAACACAGCCTTTCTGCCTTGCACAATGTTCGCCAACTGGTCCTTCACCAGTCATGATGGACTGAGAAACTCTTTTTGGATGTCTCTCAGGGGCATATGACAAACTTGCCCAAACCACTGGACTGGAGATCTCTTGATCTGGAGTAGTAGTTGCTAATCCTGAAGAACCTCACATTTGGTGGCAATTGATATCATAGAACAAAGTCTTACACCAGCTAGTCAATATAAGAACCTCACTATGACAGCTTCTTCCTGTGATCTGATTCTATTGATCACTCCCCATAAGTTTATGGCCATGAGAAGGGTTGGAAAAAAAAACATAAAAATAAAAAAGGGACTTGTGCCTTTTTAGAGATATCCCATTTGGGAATCTATGTCCACCAGAGGTTCTGCAAAACTGTGGAAGCCCTGGAGCTGCGATATTTTTGCACATCACCCATTGCTTGAGAAGCAGGGATCCAGATACTCCACTCCGACTGTTTCAAGGGGCCCCTTCACTTGACATTAAGGTGCACTATGGAGTACAATAAGTTGAATTGAATCATCATGCTGTATAGCTCATTATTAAACTGGGTCAATAAAACAGCATCACCAGCCAAGAAAATTAATTTTATTGGTGATGCACCACTGATGATGACTCCCTTGCAACCCTGGCTATACATACAAATCTTGCCCATGTATGCAAGGAATAAGAGAGACAATGCAACCTTAGTATAGCCCGGCACATGCTGATGAATAGTTCCTAAAGCTTCCATGGAAGCTCATGCTTGTAGACCTTTCAAGATCCACGAGGAGCATCTAAAACTTTTCCACATCCCCTCTTAATGTTTCCAAGAATCTGCTGCAAAGAGCTGCTCCATCCCACTGCACCCTCCATGAAAGTCAATTTCTTCAAAACTTCACAAGTAGGTGGACACCTTGAACTACAATGGAGTCCAAGCTAGACATCTTCACATGCATTCTGTCTCAATAAGTAAATTGTTTCCATATAAACAAATTGGAAATGCTTCAAGTCCATCAGACAAACTTTCTATACTCTACTTTTCTTCTGAGAGAGAAATTGAACTGATAGTCAAGTCAGACGTCTTTCTCCCTGAATCACAGATCTTTAGACTCCTGCATCATCTGAAAACAACGTTGCCTATAAAATGCACACATTTGAACAGTGCTCTTATATTAACGTTATTTGGCTATTGATGCATGCAATGTAAACTTTGAATTCTGATATGAAAAAGTCCTGAAAAGGGCTCTATAGTTTACCTAAGAATTTCAATAGCTATGATGAGTAATTTACCTGATGGAACAAGTGACATTTTTCATTGAATAAAAAAAAAATGTATTCACACTATAATAGGGCTTAAAATCATCTTCGTCACTTTTGGTATCAGAAATCTCAAAATCTACATAACCTAAGGCATCAGGGAATGCACCTTTGGAATGCTTGGATGCTGAATTTTTCTTAATTCATCCTATTCCATTTCTTTCTCTTTGAACAGCTAAATTTCCTTCTACAACTCACTCTTGGATTCAGCTCTCTCCTGTGACCTTCACACTGGTGATTAAACTATAAACCTGCATCCAGGCTTGTGAACTAGAGCCCAGATTTTGGCAACAAAGACAACTTCCCTTTCCTTTTCCCCATAATTTCTGCTCAATTGTGCATACACTAATCTTTTGATATTGACGATTGTTTAGACAAATTAATTCGAATTTAAATCGAAACGAAAGGAAACTTGCTCAATCAAAGTAGTTAAGAAACGTGGGTTTAGGCATAGATATTGATTGAATGGAATACCAATACGTTCAAATTATGCCTGCAAGAGCAGGGTAATGATCTGTGGACCTAAAAACGAAAGGAAACTTGCTCAATCAAAGTAGTTAAGAAACGTGGGTTTAGGCATAGATATTGATTGAAAGGAATACCAAAACGTTCAAATTATGCCTGCAAGAGCAGGGTAATGATCTGTGGACCTAAAAAACCTCTAGGTCCAATGAATATAATTTTGCCTGGGCCCTTTGCAAATAGGCAAAACAATAAGACGATCAGAGGCATAGGTTACAATCGGCTATTCAAAACCGGGGGCGCTTGGCCTACCCCAATGAACCCATGTATACAGAAGGCCTAGGCCAGGTTCTCTGTATCGTTAGTGAAGAGTTAGGCTCATCCATTGGGCACACAACCATAGACCTGTACTTTTATACCTATCTTGCCTTGTGAAAAGTGTGCTTGTAAAGCTTTAATTCGGCCGGACGTCCACCACGATTCCTGAGGTTGAGATACGAGAAATGCTCCGGCATGGCTACCACGTGGTTTTACAGGCTCGTTTGACCCCAAAAATAAGGCTTCAAAAGGTGCCGCGACAGCAGCGCCAGTTTCTGCCCCTTGATGCGCCCCCGCCCCCCAAATGAATTACAAGTCAGTCGCTATTATCAATAAGGATGTCCACGCCAGGTATTTCCATATCTTACCTTTCCAAGTGACCACCGCTAACCACTGCTTGAGACTCACCTCAGCTAATGAACTCAGCACATATGTGTATCAAAAAATAAAAAGGAGAAGTTCCAGACACTGAAACGAAAGCAGAAGCAGTAATGAATCCCCCATAACACACGCATCATATCCGGCAACCGTGGGAAACGTCATGGGAGACAGCACGCTAAGGCTAAATGAACGACGGCTAATTTCAATTTTTTATGGCAAAATGGTGCATTGCAAGCAACAAAAACATTACTTTTCTTGACCTAGGAGTCAATATCTTTCTTTTGGTTGGTCTCTTTCCTTCGAGAACCTCCCAGGAGTGCCTAGCCAGGGGGGGGGGAGAAAAAAAAAACACGGAATGAATTTGGCATCTTCAAAAAGGGAGATTCAGTTTTCTTCACAACCCAGGGGAGATAGAATTTCAAATTTGCTGGAGCGATTCTGTGTTGAGATGGGAAGAAGTCCGCCCAATTTCGTACCTGTAGATCCTCTCAGAGGAATACGAGGAGGTTGGATTTTGTGACGGGAAGGGGTTGAAGAAAGGGAATAGGAGCTACTGCGCCTATTGACATGGCAGCAATAAGATTCATCTACTAGAAAAAAAGTAAGAGACAATGAAATCACCTGACAGCTTCTCCAGGACTCAGAGGAGTGCCAGCAGAGGATATGACTTTTTCACAAAGTAGTTCCATGCCCCAACAGTTGAGAGGAGCCCAGGTAGGCACCCGGGTGCAAAGATCTCGCAGGATCCTGATCACCATCACACAGCTCTGGAGCCCGTTAGCCTTTGCCTACATACATCCATCAATTGATCAGTTCACTGCCTTCAATTAAGTGCTCTCTTTTTTTCCTTCTCTAGCTAAAAACTAAGAACAATCCTTCAGTTACCTCCACCACACACATCCCAAGAGTCTCAAACTGGGTTGCGGAACGGCTATGTATCTCTCGAATGTTACTAAATAGTCTTATGAACAAACTTGTACATAAAAAATTTTGAATGAGAGGATTCCTTTAAAAGTCAGTAAATTGCTAGATGCTCTACTGCTCCACAATCCAGCCAAAGCCTCCACCCTCACCAACATTTACATGGATAAAGTCAAGTGGCTTCTCTAGAGCTGAGCTGCATCTGACATATACAGTATATATATATGCACACTTACTATAGATCTGAATATGCACCTAAACTGTGCCAGTGTTCAAGAATTATCAAGCTGAAGTGAGAAATTTTAGTTTGTGTCAGCTACTGCTACACTTATAGCAAGGTGCTATCTACTTATGTCCACATCACATTACGCATGTGCAATCTGAAGAGATTTCAAACACAAGTTGCCCATGGAAGCAGGCACCTCAAAGCAGCTCATCCTTGCAATTTTCTTCAAGCCACTAAAAATTTATCCTCGTAAATTAGGCCATAGTACAGGAAAAAACCTCGTAGTAGTTACAAGACAACGATCACTTTGAACTGGTTAGAACTTGGTGTACATGACATGCATGTGATAATGTGCACAAGAAATTTGGAAGAAATAATCCCATTGCCATCATCCATACAGCATTCCAGATAAAATGGAACAAATACAGGCCCCAGACCTTGGCTTGGCTTTTTCACAACTCCCATGATGACAGACTTAGGATAAGGAAATTTGGAAAAGACATGGTACAACAAAACCATGAATGCATTACACACAATGCTTGCTATTTATTGTTCTTGCCTGGACAGGACAGCACTTGTAGGAGTGAATGGATGGGAGGGAAAAGAGAAACACAGAAGATAAATATGATAAAAGATAGAGGTGACTGCAAACCTGGAACCATTTAGCATGGCGAAGCTCAGCCAACGCTTCGAGACAAATGTCTTTATCGAGGACATCAGGCGGATCCGGGCGGGGGCCTTGACCTTGACCTTCGGCTGAAGGGTCAAGAAAAGGAGGGAGAGAGAAGAGAGAGGAAAGGGTGTTTGATCAGCTGTCCTCCTGCTGGAGCCCTGGTTCGGCTCCACTTTCACGCATCCTGACCGACCACTACCACTACAACATCCTCTTAGGCATAAAGAAACAAAAAAAATACAAAAGCGTCCCACAAAATGTTATATCTGTGTATCATCGATTTCGTTACAAACTCTCTCAGCAGCTTTCCATTCCCATCAGCTGGCTCATTAACACCCATGAGAACTACTTTACAGCCCAGAGTTTCTAAGGGAGTCCAGATAGATGCCAGACAATTGTAAGACCCAAAAAATTCAGCAATGATCTTGTTTTGGAAGCTGAAAACTAAGAGCAAGCATTTGTGACTGTCGAATTGGTCGGCCAGTCGTGTAGTGTGGGCGAAGCAGGGCCTGGCTGGTGGGAGGGCGTGATCAAAAATCCTTCGAAGGGGCCACTCCGTTGCCGTTTCACTTCCATTTCTGCTCTTCCATTCGCTTTCCTGTGTCTGTTGGAGTCTCTCTCTCCTCTTTGCCAGAAAAAACCCAATAAACAAACACACAAAAAGAGCAATACCTTCCATTCGGCTCCAAATTGGTCTCTTTTGCATCGAGATGTGAAAATCAGGACCAGCGTCAGAAAATGCAACTTGGTACTATCATTTCCTGGATGCCAGTTGGGAGCCAAATGGCCTGTTTTCTAGGCAGAATGCAGGGAAGGAACCAATCTCATTCATTCTAGCTCCTCATAACCAACCTTCTCCAACCAATCTCTGGTTGTTCATACATTAATGTACTGCAGTATCCTTGAGGTCATGAGAGATCGGTTTTTCCCACACTTTCTAGCTCTCTCCCGTTTCTAGCTGCCAGCACTCTTGGGTGTTATTTTACATTCACCAGCTGAATTCCTCTGCAGCCCAGTACTCCACATGAGACATGAATCCAGTGCAGAGGCTAAAAATCAGCTTATGACAATGAGAGTGCGGGCATCTGAATGAGTTGTTGTCTGGGCCCTTTTTGCATGTTTCGAAAGCTTTGACAATTTGATAGGGGAAGAAGAAAGTGGGAGCGGGGAACGAGACAAATGCGAAAGAGAACGCACGGTGAGATTCCGCAAGGAGCTGTTCACGCATGACAGGAGATGTAAGCGTGATATGCACCTCGACCCCACAGTCTGCTTCTGAAACCACAATGGCTGCTTCTTCTACACACATCTTCAACTGGTACTTGTCATCTGGAGCCACCACCTGCCATATACAAAGATCAGTATGAAGAGGAAAATCTGAAAAATCAGTGAAAACAAAATGTTCCACTTGATTGAAGCTTGGCCTCAGATGAAATGGTGGAATATAGGATTGGCTTTCGGCATGTTATCTCCGCGTGGTGCATGTCCAATCATCACTGGCTGCCTCACATTGACACATCAAAAAAAGACAAAAAATGCAGCAAAACTCACAGCAAACTGCTTGGGGAGGCTATCCGCAACACGTTCCAGGAGTGCTCGAGTGGGTTTCTCGGAGCAAAGAACAACAAGTCGAACACGGCTGTCTCCACGAAGCAGCAGGCCCTTAGCCAAGTTCCCCACACGCATCACTCCCTTCAGGACTCGTGGGTAATTGCTGGTATCCTTCTTGTCTCCACCTCCTTCCTTCTTGATCCCTTCAGGAGTCCTGCACAGTGCAAGAAGGTTCCATAGTATATTTACACAGAAAATAGAAAACACTGACACACGTGAGACAGTGGTATTCCGCACTTGGGATCCTTGGTCTCAGCAGCAGGTTTCTCCTTTGCATCTGGGGGTGCATCAACTTCAGCAATATAGTCCGAGACCAACTTCAGTGCCTTCTCAGAGTTCCCAACAATTTTGTGGACGGCCTGAAGCTCCTCTTCCTTGGGGTAGATCTCCCCATGCTTGTGAATGACATGACGATCGTCATTGGTTTCTGGACGACGTCCACCTGGAAAATGAGGCATTGGAGGACCAGGGGGGAAAAATCCTGGACGAGGAGGACCAGGGGGAAGGGGGGGGCCAGGAGGAGGAGGACCCGGGGGGAGACGACCCATACGACGCATGTAATAAAATTCCATGTTGTCCTCGTATCGACGGCGCTCTTCCCAATAAAGATGTTCTTCTTCCTCCAACATCCTGTGGATAGACAATAAGCATAATAATAAATTCAATAGATGTCATAGCAATGATAATGAGCTTAATTGTCAATATGCAGTGGTACACATTTAAATTACAAGTGACCTTTAGATTTAAATATACCATTCCAAAAGTAAAAACTTAGCAGTAGGATATCCCATGTTGGAGAAAGAATCCAGAATCCTGAGCCCCTTCAAGGCAGAGATACACATTGCCCTCCTCTGATTGTGTTCCAGCAAGGAAAATGAGACAGGGTCATAAGGAATGTGTAATTTAGGAGCCAAGAAATGCCAGACAGTCTTGGGGCTCTGGATTTGTTTGGGTGAGTGATTTTTCCTTTCTTTGCATCCACCGCTGTTTTTTTTAAAGGTATATTTCAGCCAAATGAGAAAAATTTGCATTAACCTATGAGCAAAAGTTACTTGACTTTGATGAATGATTTTGATTTAGCAATCAAAATATTTCTCTAATGGACTCAACATGCATCCTAGCAAAAGCTGTAAGATTAGATTCAATTTCCTTAGTTAATAAAATACCACATTTCATAATAACTTGTATTGTAATAAGTTTCAACATTTACAGCAAGATAGACTGCTCAGATTAAAGGTGCTAATATTCACTAACTGAATCTTTTAACCTAAAACAGTTCTAAGTTTCTTAAAATCAGGAAATAACAAACCGCATCTCTGCATGCCACTGCCTCTTTTCTGCTCTCATCTGTGCAATGCGCTCCTGAACCTGCTGGCGCCGAGCACGATCCTCCTGGATGCGTCTCATTCGCAGCGATGGTTTTATTTCCACTGGAAGATTTGGGTCCACCTTCTTTTTGTATTGAAGACGATGTCTACGTCCTTTGAGGTGCATCTCCTTAGCATTTGGATCATTGAAGCGACACTCGCATAACTTGCAGCTGAAGCTTATCACTTTTCCTGTGAGAGAATAGTAGTGTTTATGTAAGCATGAAAAAAAATTACATATTTTGTTGTGGATAATGAGTAGTGATTATCAATATCATGAAGCAACAGTATTGACTGACATGGAATAACCATGTATGAGAGCTAAAAATTACTTTAATGAGGATTATTATAAGAAATGAGGCAACAAGATAATCAAATTTTCACAAACTTGATCCCCTGGAGCCAGAGGGTTCAGGCTTTTCAGTAACACTATCGTTCCATCTGATTTTTTTTTTCCATTGGGATTTAAAATTGGAATGCTAATGCACTTGGCACACATGCTTCATCATCAACACCATAAAACTATGACTGCAGCTTCACCAAATAATGAGTGAAGAAACTAACCCTCATCATTCTTAATCTCATCAATGTAGTCAGCTCCAACAGGCTGAACATCCTTCTCTTCAGGCAATTTGGGGAATTCTACCCTGTCTCCAGCATCAAGTTCTGCATCCAACTTCTCCTCTCTGGCTCCAGCTGTGGTTGTCTTCAGTTGGGTTCCACCTTCCCCGGGCCAAACATTAGAATAATTAGCCTTCAATCACAGAAATTTTGACTCGCAGAAAGTTAAAAGCATCCATGAATAGATGTCTTCAGTTTAGGTAAGGGAAACAGTTGTCTTCAATGTACTTCAAAGCGAGCTGGGTTCATACCAATTCATCATATGACACATAAAAGATAATCAATCATGATGCTCAATAAACTCATGACTCACCCACAAAATTTATCTTGGGGATGGATACAGGTTTTTTGGCAGGTGCTGGGATTGCAGCAGGGCTGGTCCCTTCTACATTCCCTGGAGTAATGCTATCAATCGTACCCTTTTCCTCATTTTCAGCTTTGTTGGATATGATGGTTGGTTCTGTGGAAGGAATAGGCTTTCCAAGCTTCTGATGAAGCTTCACCACCTAAAAAAAAAAAGAGGAATTGGGGGAAGATGACTACCTGTGCACATCACTGATGGCAAGTAGTGAGGGAGAAAGGAGGAATGAAATGTAAACCTTTTGATGCTTGGCTCCTCTAATATGAGCAGCATATGCATCAGACCCTGTGCAAGTGACATCACACAGTTCACAACGCAAAGCAGATCCACCTCGAGGTAGAGTGGCTGCTGCTCCCACCTTTGCTGCTTGCTCCTTTTTCTTGTGCTTCTGCCCTTCCAAGTGTTCCATGTATGTCTACAAGCAAAGGGAATTACAGAACTAGAAACTAACACATTCAAATAGGTTTAGAAGAATCCAGATGGCAAATATATGCTACCTGAGGACCTGCACAGGAAATCTTGCAGACTTCACAGTAATGAAGCTGCTGAGGTTTTGGAGGAGCTCGAGGTCTCATTCCACCTCTAAGCTGTGTACCAGCTTTCCTAAATGGTGCCCATGTTCCCGCTCCACCAGTGCCAGTGCCCCCTATGCCGACTAGAACTTGTCCTGGGTTGGGAGGTCTCACTGTGGGTGCTCCTCCCACCACAGCAGGTGACCCACTGCCTACTGCTCCACTACCTCCGTAGTTGGTTTGCGTTGAGTACGTAGCTTTGAAGGTAAAGATAAAGTGAATAAGAAGAAAATTCCATAAAAACATTTCAAAATGTCACAAATTCACATCTCTTCAAAACTGCAGCTTACCATACTGAACTTTCCCCTTGTTTGCATTGGCATTCTGATTTGGAAAAGGTGCAGAGAAGGACTGCTGCTGTCCAACAGCACCTTGGCTGTTTGCAGCACCTGCATTGTATCCCTTGAAGGCAGTGGAGTTGCCTGCAGCACCTATGAATCAGAGTAGACTCCAGTGTTAACTTTTATGTAAAATGGCTATCAAAATACAGCTCACAGGAAATGACAGACTCCTCACCTTGATATCTATTATCTGAAGCTGATGGAGCCTGTTGATAGTATGTCTTAGTAGAGTCATAACCTGCAGCAGCTGCCTGGGGAGGCTGAGCAGCTGCAGGAGCTGCTGGTCGAGCAGTAGCATAGCTGTACTCATATGCAGCAGTTACTGGTGCAGCTGCAGCTCCAGCATTCACTGTAAAATGAGGCACATGTGCTGAAAATAAAAATTTTAAAAATAATAAAGCTTAACTTGAACTATGGAACTGGGCATACTGGACCAAGCACGTTGCTTCTGTTTTAAATTCAATACTTTCACTCAAAAGGGGCTCAACTTTACAAATGGTCCTCCAACCACTGGGGCGAGGTGAATGTTGGGTGGTTTAAAAAAAAACACTACCATTTTCAATGGGAGAAACAGAGTTTCATTAATGCAGCAAAAAAAGTTACATTGAACACGTGATTGATATTTGACAATTACAAGGTGTTGAAATTGAAAGGATGATTTAAAATAGCTCTGCTGTTTTCAAAGTGGAGAAAGCATGATTTAAGTATTAGAGTAAAAAATTATAAGATTCATAAAATATTGATAATTGGACATATAGGAAGTGTTGAAAAGATTATATTTTCTTCTGAACAAATCTCTGAGCTATAATTGTCCTGTTACACAGTTTACAGGTGGAGCATGACACATTTTTTTAAGCACCCTCTATTGGGATATAGTGCCATCTTGCAGAAGTGAAAAAAAGTAAACTCATGAACATCTGTCAAGTATCAGGTGGATCCAACTGTCCATTGAAAAGTTCATTGAATTCTGAGACAGTCATGCTCGGGTCATTACCTAACTCAAGGTGGAATGATCCACCTCTAAGCACCTTTAATTCACCTCTAAATGGGCATTGCACAATTTAGGCTGGGTTGTAAAAAAAAAAAACTTAGCATGCATTTCAACACCTGGTAACTGTCAAATATCGATACTGTATCAAATGTAATTTCCTATTATGCATTTAAAAAACTATATTTCTCCCATAGAAAACAGTAATCATTTTTTTAAATCACCCAATATATGAGCCATGTATACATAAATATGTACAAACTAGCAACTAATTTTTCCAAGCGGGGCATGCACAACATTTTGCACAATAAACATAAAAAATATATCATGCATAACAATCCTTGGCAACTCAGCACCCATGTCACATGCCCTGCCCAGACCCCTGCATCTGTTAGCATGACCAGAGCCTTTCCAGGCATGTGGAATATTCAGATCTCAGATTGGTCCTCTTGAACTGACCTGAGCTGCATCTCACAGGTTGAGTTTTCTAAGTCATAGTCTTCCGCATTTTGGTGAGATCTGAGTGCAGTGGCATGGTTCATGAACCTCAATGATTTCTTTCCCAGCTTTGTGTCCAAAACAAGCTAACTTTCTCAATCTTTCAGCCCAATACATAAAAAATGTGGCTGACATGGTCTATGCTCATCACTAGTTCTATGAGATTAGTTTGCACTTGGGTTTGATAAAAACAAAAAAAAGTTGGTGAAACATTAGTCTGAGTCTCTAGCACCAAAGTGATAACATTATTCAGTGGGAGAATATGAAGGTAGCAAAGATGCTTACACTTACAATGACCCTCTCAGCCTCAATTCAACATGGCAGCTTTTATCTCTTGCACTTTCCAAAGAGAATAATATAAACACTTGAAGGCCTTAAATATTGCTTTTTTAAGGCTAAGTGCCTCATATCCAAGGCATTTATAGGAATAAATTCCCTCAGGAAAACCTTTAAGACTCATCACAGGTGGCTCCACAGAAATTTGAGGTGGAGGATCACTTGTAAAGGTGCTCCAATGGACATATTCATAGTAGAGTTATGGATAGTATTCTCCAGCAACTACGGACTGTTCGTAATATACCAAATAGCATTATTATTGTCCTTTAGGGCAAGAAGCCAATGGTGCACCGTCATATACATGATCATCCTCTGGCATGAATATCTCTAGTATGGGCCCACCTGCAGCATATGTGGCAGGAGCAGCATGTGGAGTTGCAGCAGCCACAGCTTGATACGTTGTTTCATATGCAGCCCTGGCTGCACCCTGAGTTGCTGCATATGCTGGGGTGGCACTAGGACCAACAGTGTAACCTGTTGCTCCTGCTGTATATGCAGTTTGAGCCCTAGAATAGATTCACAGGGAAAGATAATTAAAATCTCAAACTCTGGTTTGACATCATGCTCACCTAAATTAAAATAATATTTATATAAAAAAAAACCTTCCCTCAGTGTATATCAAAATAGCAGAAGATTGCCATACACCCCCAATCAAAAACACAGAGATAAGCTGCATATTATATGCAGATGATTTAGCTATCATGTCATTGTTCCCAGTAGGACTACAGAAAGAGCATTGAACCAGCTGCAGAAATACTATGAAAAATGGGAGATGCAAGTCAATCAAAAGAAGACGAAAGTGATGGTGTTCAGCAAAGGGCATAAGAGACGAAGAAATGAAAAGTGGTTCTACAGTAAGGAGCCATTGGAAGTAGTACCTTCATTCTCATATTGAGGAATTGTCCTCTCACACAGGGAAATGGAACAAACACATCAGATATGAAAAATGAAGGTAAGAGAGCACTCCACTCCTTGAATACATTTGTAATGAAAAATCCAAATAGTCCATGTAGTCTTGCACAAATGCTGTTCAACACACTTGTCACCAGTACAGTTTTATGTGGAACAGAAATTTGGGAATCTCTAGAGCATGAAGAAATAGAAAAGCTGCAAACCTCCTTCTTGAAGAATATTACAGGTATGAATAGAGGCACCCAGAACACAGCCCTACTCCTCGAACACGGAAGAGGTGACATGATATCCATCAAGTGGAGGATGGTTAAATATTGGATTAGAGTCAGACCTCATACTCACTCCATGGTTGAAGAGTGTTATGAATTGCAAAAAAGTGAGCAGAAAGCAACCAAGACTTTTGAGGAAAAGATATAAAAGTAATACTAGATCAGCTAGGATTCTCGTATGAGTGGCATTTCAGACCAGGAGGAAACTGGTTTTTAACAGAATGCAAAAGGAGATGCACGAATATCAGCTTCCAGCAGCAACAAGCAAAAATAGAGATTAAACCAACATTGAATATATTGCAGATTGAAGATGTGCTTTGACCCAGAACAATATCTTGAAAGATACAAAGGATACAGATGGGCTTTTGCTCTGCTAAGGTTAGGAACCTAGAAGTGGCAAACAAAGACAGGAGTAGGAGGATTTCCATTTGCCCTTGGTGTGAGGAGACCAAAATACAAATTTTATCAGAATGTGCAGGATACAAAGATTTGAGGAGAAAATACTTTTAACCCAGAACCATAACGACCAAAGCTGCTATGAACTATGCTACATCATGGAGAAGGACAGCTGGTGTGCCTTTAAAGAGAAATGTGGTGGAAGAGGGAAGAAAAACTGACTATTGAGAAAGAAACAAGAAACCATGTGACTCCCACTTATCAATTAATTAATTTGAAAGAAGTGATTAAAGAATGAGTGGAGTTTTGAAGTGCTGTATTATGTACAGAAGCACAGAAATGAATGTCTATGCATATCAAAGTGCCTGTTAAATACACTGAGAAAATGATGCTGATCATACCCAGTTTAAGTTTAAGTTTACTACAAGGCCACAATTTCATTGAATAAACCAAATTTATTGATCAAAACCCACAAACTATGGTGATCAATAATACAAATACCTGGAAAGATCATACTCCATAATCTTCTTATGGAAAAGGGGTGGCTTTCCCCTTCATTCATGAAAATTTAAGGAGAAAAATATTGGAAACGGGGCAAAAATATTCATCAACAAGTAGAAGAATAGTATAAGGGTGGATTTTCGAGCAAAGAACAAACCAATAATGCTGCTTTGTTTCCAGGAAACAATGTATTTACCCTGGAATAAAGCTGCATTATCAGATAGTTCCCTATTTGAAAATCCACACCAAGTTTCAGGATTGGTGTTTCAGTCCTTTCGCCACAAGAACAAGAACAGGAAACTCATCATCTTTGTTCCTCCTTATTCCCACTAAATACTTTGATCTCCATTCTCTTCATTTTAACTGGGTCACACTGTTGTATTGACAAACAGAACAGAAGCAGTCAGAGACAGAAATGATTAGGCATCAGCTTGTAAGGATATGCTTCTTCATACTTATGAAGATACAGTATTCCACCATCACTACCAAGCAATAACCCACAATTGTCAGTAAGCAAATGGATTAAGGCTTTGGATTATGTGGGTAACAGTGCAGTGGGTTTGAATTTTCCTGCAACATAAATTATGGATGTTTTCTAGGTAGTTTAATTTTTTCTCACATTAATGTCTCTTATATGCAGGGTGTCCATAAATTGAAAGGCTGATAGACAAATTGGTCTATCTGTAAAAAAAATGTTTCTGGATTTGGAAGGGAAAAGTGGTCTACATACATAGAGCATTTCTCCCCACGACGACAATGCATAAATGATGGCATGCTCACATTGAAAAGTGGTGTGTCCGTTGTACTGCATGAATGCAGTTGGGCTTGGAGTAATGAGCTTACCAGAATTAACCGTACTCCTTCGGCTTTAATTCCTTCCACTTCTCTCTTATATCCAGAAGACTAAATATTTTCTCTCAGAATTCTGAAAAATGCATTTAGGCAGGGAGCAGCAAAATATTCAGGATTTCCTAAACCTATTTTTTGGAAAATCAAAATATATGCAGTCAACAACTCAAAAAAGCACAATTCCTTAATGAAACAAAGTGTAAACCTCCACCCATGAGTCAGAGGTCAAAATGCATACATCATAATGTGGATAAAAGCAAAAGGCCTGGCATCAGGTGCTACCTGACAACTTTAAATATCTTATAACTACATAACTCTTTGATAACCCATGGAATTACACAACTATTGAGGGGGTAAAAGGAAAATAATTTCATTTCAAATTCAATTTCAAAGCAGGAAATTGGTCTAATGTGCAGCCCCACCTATACCTTTCACTGGAGACAACCTGTAAGATTTCTGCAAATAAACAAAAAAGATCCAATATATGCACCACTTCTTAATTAACAGAGCAAAGATAGACCCACTTTTTTGCAGTTTGGAATTTTTTTGTAGATAGACCACTTTGCCTTTTAGCCCTGCAATTATGGATACACTTTCAATATAGCATAAAATCAGGGAGTTTCATGATAATATTCCAGAATATAAAGAGGAACTATGAAAGTTTTATTTAGTTCTCACAGATTCCAGCAAATGACTTTCTATACTAAAAATGGCAACCCCACAGAAAAGGGGCAGTGCGTCTTATAATTTCAAGCTATCAGAAGTTCCATTAGTGTGCAAGGGGAATTCAGGACTAAGTTTGTGAAGAAGTACCTAACAAGGAGGAGCTGTTTATGGCTGGCATAAGACATTTCTCAAGACCAGATGTTTGTGCCCCAAATCCAGAGCTAGTAAGTTAAGTGTCAAGAAAAGTAAGACTCCAAATGCTAACTTACTGAAAGTTTTTAATGAATTCTACATCATTATGAGGAATTTTTTCAGCCCAGATTCAAACATTGTGACAGTTCACCTTAACAAAGATTAAATTTTGCCTAGAAGGTTACATGACAAAGATTTCATAATTTCCCATGCATCTCACCACTTCCCTGAAGAAGTCATATTTAAGTTTCTCAGATGACGTCATGCAAGAGAGTAACTTGTAGCATTGAAACACAAATGCTTTCTTAAAGTTTTGTAATGGTCAACATTGGGGGGGATCCTTCGTTATGTGAACACCTTGGCAATGCTGACTTCGTTTGTGTACACCACTGTATTCAATGAACACTGGGATACAGATGTCCTAATGCACTAGTTGAGCTACATGTCAGATGCTGTGCACCCGAAATAGTTTGAACCATTAGTTCTTAAGATTCGTCAATGAATCAAAACATACCCCAAAACCTGATTTCATGAAATTACTTGGCAGGAGTCTCAATGTCCTTATTTTTAAGTAGGTCAATGGGAATAGAAACTCTTCTCTACTGTGCACACCATGATAATGTCATCGCTGTTCAGGCAGGCCCATGACTCATGCCAAAGCCATGGAGAGTAACACCATACCATCACCTGCTGATTGCTTTTCTGCCTGTCATCCTGGGCATCAAGTTTATCTCAGGGAACGCATGGGAGCCGCATCGTGAAAATCAGACTAGGGACTTATCACTTCAGAGAAGCAGCTCGAAGTGGGGAAACAACGCTCTGCATGACAGTTCCTGAGGTTCAGTTGGTTGAGTGTTGCCAACCATGAGAACCTTCAGTTCGAGCCGTTTCTTATGATTGAGAGCTCGAGTTCAGTTTTCCTGACATATCTCATGCGCATCCTTAGATGACAAAACATGTCATTATCCAATTGCGATGTCCCATTAAACATTGCAGATTAGTAGATCTACCTGACAAAGCAAATATAAAGAAGTACTGTACACAAGACAGTCTGCATTGTGGGGGAGTGTTCACACAACAAAGGATAACCTATGTTGGCACCTGCAGTTCATTTCTTGTCTTCTGGATGCTTTTCTTTGGACTCCTGACAAAGGCTTGTGCGAACTTGTTCCATAGTCTCTTTGTTGGCATTTGACCTACCACCTCCAGGCTTAGTACACAAACATATGAACTCAATAAACCTCTTATGCCAACTGCAAATGGCTTTCTGTGTTGGGAACAACTTCACAAACTGAGTCCTGAATCGCCTTCACACACAAGTAGCACTTCTGGTTGCTTCAAACCATTAGACACAGTGCCTTTTACTACAGTGTTTTTCACTTGAGTTAGACATTTTTTCACTTGACTTCGACAACGATGCATGGTGAGGGTGATATAGCGGATCGACGCAGAAACTAGGAGTTCCATACTTAAGTGCAGATGTCATGATGACATTGGTGACGATGATGATTAATTTCTTGCTGAAGAGAGATCAATATGAACCTTCCCTAATACACAATATATTGAAATGATAATTTAATGTCTTAGTGAAAAAATAGGCTTTCGTGTCACTCATTACTTTTTCCCTTAATATTTCAATGAAACAGATAAAGTTTTGGGCATCGTTCCCGGGTAATGAAATATCACTCCCCACGCCAAACTCACGTAGGGTAGATTAGGCCTATCTGATGTGGATCTGGGATTGCCCATCAAAGTCCAATTCAGTGCTTCTACATCATTGAACCAATGGGAAGTTGTAAACTTTGAGCCTTTTTTTATATAAATAGACTGCAAGGAAGGTCTCATGTTGACAACATGGCTATGCATGAGGTTCATCGTTTCCAGTTCATAGTTTGATTCATATGAAAAGCCTAAATATTCAAAGGAAAGAAAGATGTCACTAGTCACCAGGGGCACCTGCGCCCTCGCCTCCTCTCTGAATGCCCCATGCATCAGTAAATGAACTACTCCTCTGGAGTAAATGAACCAGTAACAGAAGCAAAAAAATTTTAATTCCTTAAGTATTCTGAAACTAAGAACACCAATTGCCAATAACATTTTTTTCTGTATGATTGACCATATATGATTGTATCCATAATGACTACTATGGACATATCACAATGCAAAGCGGGATGGGGGCAGCTTTTGTTTGCCATCAACACCACACACAATCCAAGTCACTCAGGCAGGGACACCACTCCACAGCCAAGCAGGAGGTCCTAAGGCCAGTCCACATACTACCTAAGCCCATGATTCTTGGATTTATTTTTTTTGTTGTGTGAAATTGCACTTATACCTCCCTGATGTGACACTGCAGAAAGTGAATAAACTGCCTGCAAAATGGAAAAGAGCCCATAACCAGTCAGTTTTATCGAACGCTAGTTCAGCTGAATACCCAAATCAAACCCAGATGATGCACAGGACCATACCAGTGACAGCATCTCATGGATGAAGAAAATTTCCGAAAAATTCCACTACCGCTTACGTTGTTCCAAAATCCTGCAAGCGTGAACGTGTGGCTCGAATGGACCATGTAACACAAATGCGTAGAGGTACACGGGGAAGGTCTGAAGTCGCAAGAAATAGTGTCTCGTAAGAGGACGAATAAATTGCGCACTAACAGACGGAGTGTTAACGTTTCTGGCCAATAAGATGTACGTACAACGTATCAATAAAAAAAAAGCACATTTAGGAAATGCTGTCAAAAAGTTGATAGGAAAATTATTCTAGATTTACCTGAATCACGATACCAGCCTTGATACCTTTTCTTTTCTTCCCCATTGAAATTCATACTGCAAACGGTGTCAGGCAAGTTGTGTCTCAAATTGCGGCTAACTTGAGCCACAGATCACACCGTACAAAATAAGGTCTTGTAAAAAGAGTGTGTTTCCTAGCACAGATGAAGAGGAAGTTACTCACGGATATTGTGTGCCACTGTGTGCGAATCCAAAATAATTATTGGCAGCCATCCTCTGCTGCGAAGTTCCGTCCGCAGCCCGTCAGCGAAGAACGTGCCCAACAAGATGGCTACTTCAGACGCCGGAGGAAGAGACTTTCATAGTTGCCAAATCCGGTTGTCACTTCCAATCACATTCCTTGTTTAATTTCGCGTATTTTGAGATCATTTATCATGAATTCAAGGAAATAATGGTAATAATATTTTTAATATAGCACTGATACGTGTCAAAATTTTCAGGTTTGGAAAAATATTACAGAGAAAGTACACCCAATCATGTCTAAATATAATTTCTTGTTCATCCTGAGGATCTGTCGCAGATTTCCGACATTATTTTCTCTAAACTAGTCACAGCATACCAGTATTAATTCTAAATGAGAAAAAGAGTGGAAAAGGCGAAAATTAGCGGATAAGGAAAGAAGGATCGTGTGTGAGAATTCGTGGATGGATGTCATGTTGTTCCGCCATGATGAGTCCTGTTCTCGTGACCAGTCACCTGACCTCCTCATACCCTCCCAATTGGTGAATTTTTTCATACCTAGACGAGAGTCACATGGATCTCCTCTCGGAGCCCGACCCTTTGGGTGGTGAAACTTGCGAAAGTGGGACTACCGAAGACGATCCAGGATGTGATGACCGAGGTGGTAGTCCCACCTCTCCCCACACTACTAAATCCTTCCCCGTATTCGTGAGACCCGGACGATCGACCCCAGCCAGGGAGCGACGGAACAAGCATGACCCCGGGAAATTGGGCGTTCAGTACGCTCTGAAAACCGAGGAACTAGAAAATGGAGCCGGGACGTATCGACTGATTCAAGTGACAGACGGATCCATGCCCACGTTGGCTGTGGGTAGCTTGGAGACGACCAACGTGATGCCTCATGTCCTCGCCAGCAATTCCCTGAACGCCATGGGTGATGTGATCCAAACTGAGTCGATCGCAGTGGAACCGACGAGATTCGCATACATCACGGCTCCAGCCCCAGGTGCTCCAAACGGACCGACTCATTTGGGTATTCCGGCAGAAGCCGCTGCCGCAGCCGAGAATGGGACCTTGGCGATCACTCCCAATGGGCAACTTTATGTGATAGGACAAGTCAGCACTCCAACTGATACTTTGGGACCAAGGATTGCACCAAGATCTGTTGCTGTAGGCCTTCTTTGTACTACTTATGTAGGCCTACCTTTTCAGATTTAATTCAAATGTAGGGTTGTCTGCAGTTTTGTGTGAGTCTTGCAATGGGGGTTTTGGCCAAGCAGTCTGTCCCTGAATTATAAGTTAAATACCAATTTCAACCACAAGCTCAGGCATAGAAAATAGCCTAATTGCATATTTCCCATAATTCTAGAATGGCATTCTATATTAACCTAGTCAACCTAGTCCTTCTATATTAACCTAGTCAACCTAGTCCTTCTATATTAACCTAGTCAACCTAGTCCTTCTATATTAACCTAGTCAACCTAATCCTTCTATATTAACCTAGTCAACCTAGTCCTTCTATATTAACCTAGTCAACCTAGTCCTTCTATATTAACCTAGTCAACCTAGTCCTTCTATATTAACCTAGTCAACCTAGTCCTTCTATATTAACCTATTCAACCTAACCTTGGTATGCCCGTAAAGGTTCTTATGACACTTGAATAGACTCAAGATCAGCTATACTGATAAATTTAGAACATTTGACAGATGGAAGACTCACCTATAGAGTGGCCAGAATGCCATGCACACGTGGTGCTCCACTGCAGTCATGTCTGTACTAGAACCCCAATTGGGAAATAATTTATCCTGCAGGATCATGCAAGTTAGTTGGCCAATTCTTTGCCAATAAAAGTTGGCCAATAAAAGATTCCTGTTTATACAGGAATCTTTTATATATAAAATATTCTCTCAAAGAACTTGCAACTCTTGCAACAAATGTGTCTCAATGTTTATCTTAAGTCATCTTTTCTACAATACAATTCACAATCTTTTTTTTTACCTTGGAATTTGCATTTTATAAGTGTATGGCAAAAAGAGCATATAGTATATTCAAGAAAATACTAAGCAAATGAAAAAATACATCACCATAGATTCGCTGTACTTTTGAGTTGGTAAGGATGGACTGATATAAGGGTGAGGTGTATGACAATTGAGTTCTTTTTATTACTTGGATTTCTAATAAACATGTCTTATTCACAGGTTAGAATGGTCAGCAATGTAATTTCCTTGTATTTATTTGACAATGTAAGGCAAAATTCATGCATTCATTCCAGCAGGTAGATAACAGCAGAGTACATGTACGGGATGAGAGGAGGAGAGCAACTCACAATGAAGTGGAACGCCGCCGCCGTGACAAGATAAACACTTGGATTTTGAAACTCGGCAATATCATCCCCGATTGTCAAACTGATGCCTCAAAGCCATCTCAGAGCAAAGGGGGAATCCTAGCCAAAGCCTGTGACTACATAGTGGAACTGCGGGAAACTTGCGTCCGGTTGCACCAAGAAGTCCAAGAACTCTCTGACATGCTATCACCAGATGTGCGAGAGCTCAGAAAACAGATCCAGGATCTACGCAACGAGAATGCCATCCTGCGTAATCTTGCTCACGATGGAGTGCTAGAGAAAAACAGCGAGCATAGCAACTCAAGCAGCTAGACCTAAGAGAGAATTTAATTAGTTTCTTTTTTTCCAGTCATGAGGGTTTGTGATGTATGTTCTCAGATCCATGTGCTCCACCATACCTTCTGAAGTTTTTCCTCAATGGCCTACATGAAAGCCAATTGCCAGTGAGAGTTGGTAGATGGGCTTGTAGCACTTTTTTGTAGCTGTGCTACAATAAGCCTTCGGAATGAATTTTCTTCATTCTCGTGGACCATGCTGCATGCCACTTGATGTAGGCCTATCAATTTTGCTGATATTGTTTTTGTGAGAGATTATCAAAGGGCATTTCACGAGTGCAAACCAGCCTGTCAGATCCGTATCCTGACAAAGAAATAAATTTTATGACTAACTTCTGAAACTCATTCCAGCCTTAGAGCTCAAAGCATTATTCTCTCAGCAAGGAAATACCACACCTGATGAACATGAAGCAGAAAACAATATATATTTTTATTTGAAAAGGTTTCCACAATTTCTCATCACATCATTGAGTGAGCATCCTGCCAACAAGGGCAGGTATACAAGCACATGCGTGACTAGTCTCTGCCTTCCGTGTGATGTTAAGGCAATCCAAAAACCTAAGCAAATTGTGACACCGTTGTCCTTGCGATGGAATTTTCATAGATATGATAGAGAAGGATCTTGTTCATCGGAATCCGATAGCAACCTGCATAGGGTTGCAAGAACAACTTCATGAGTGAATGTGCAACGGTCTGCAACTTCCACGTCTGTCTGCTGCAACTCTGTTTCTGAGGGATTTTCGGGGCAAGTCACGCGGCTGAGCAGATACATGCTGTTGGGCGCCTCGCCGGAAGACCCCCCAGCATCCGAAGCCTTCTTCCCCCCGCTGCCCGTGACGGCGACCGTAGTAGTGCCCCCAGCAGCGGTGGCCGCTACTGTGCCCTTCAACGCTCCCGAGCTGGCCCCACCGCCTCGCGCGTGTGGGACGGGTCGGCCGCTCATCCGCTCGAGCTGCTGCCGAAGACCGGAGATCTGGCGATAGCTGGAGCCTTGCGCCTGGATGATGTGCTGGAGCTGGGACGTGGCCGAACCGGGATTCGACGGTGGCATGCGACGGACGGTCGAAAGCTGGGACAACAATTCGGCGATGGGATCCGAAGCATCGCGACCGCTCGACGCATTGGCATTCGCACCGCTCGAAGGCGTACTCGTGGCCGCCGCATTACCACCGCCCCCCGGATACAACGAATACAACCCACTGTTACTGTTGAACTGCAGGTGCGTCCGACGCCGCGACATCCCCCTACCCACACTCCTCCTCAACGCCCCCCTCAAGGGCGGCGTCTCCGAATCCCTCGTCGTCCCCCGATGCTCCGCCAGATGCGTCCCCAGATCATCCGTGAGGTGATTCGGCTCCCCCCCCGGCAAGGCCGCACACACCGGGCACACCACCTCCGTCGTCGTCCCCGCGTGCTCCAGCGACACGTGATCCCCCAGCGACGCCTCCGTGAACCCCAGTCTCCCGCAGTGCGGACACGTGAACGCCTGGGGCTGGTCGTGCGTCAGCGTCTCCCCGCCGTAGAACAGGTCGAAGTCCGACCGGGTCAAGATGACCTGCATGGGATGATCGGAGGAGTGACGGGTCGTGGATGCCCCCGCCTCGTGGCACGACGCACACAGGTCGTAATCGTAGCAAATCAAGCACTTGTAGCGGAGACCTCGGAAGTTCCCCTTCAGGCAGGCATCACAGCTGACCCCTTCATGGCGAGACATTTTATAATACTTTTTTTCCCCTAACCTAAACCACCTTCCGATCGTATCTATAAAAAAATTTAAAGTGTAAGTCACAGTATTCCAATCAAAACACTCAATGACAACGAACAGCATGTATTCTTTCCATAGACCTCACCCAGCTTGAGGAATGTGTTTGCATCCGCAGGGAAGCGGAGCCAAGCAGCAAAGGCTGGCCAACCGGCAGACATGCTTCCACTTTTTCACTTTACAGTCCACTCAGACCGAGCATCACGGAGACCAGACGAGAATGCAAGTTCTCAAATATAAAACCCTTTATTCTTTATTTTCATGGATCCCAGGACATAAGAGACTCTCTTCTAATACAATGTACAAACACAGCAAGATACAGGGCTAATGTGGTGGCGACTGACGAGAGAAAATACTTCACGGTGATGCATCCCAAGTCCTGCAGTTATGATTAAAAGAAAAATTTTCCATCACCTGTATCAGCAGTGGAATGTGCATCAAAGGGTGATATCAAACAAAAAGTCGCAAACGATGCAGTGCTTTCCCCCCCAATCCCCCTTCCGCCGGGAACTTCGCCATATCATCACCCCGATCGGGTGCTGGAATCGCAGCATACACAAATATCGATTCAAAACAGGAGGAATTTTTTTTATGAACAAACGTGGCACAAGGCAACAACTGACGAGCCCCTCTGCAACATCAGAGCCGGCACCTCTGACTCGGGAAAGAAAGATTTAAATTAACCTCAGGAAAGAAACGAAGGAGGTCGCAGCACCATTGAATTCCTCCATCGATCGGAAATAATCATCAAAACGTGTCATCAGAATTGCTCCATCATCCGAATATGAATCTCAGAATCGCAGACAAGACTCGGAATCGAGGAAAGTGCTCCAAAGCAGGTAAAGGAAGGGATGTCGGTCCGAAACGTTTTCGCGAATCTCATTTAGTAAAAACGGCGAACGTGGCCCACATGACCTCGTTGGCGTTGGGCTTCCCCGCCTCGAGTTCATAGTCCAGGTCCAGCAGCTCCCGGACTCGCTTCATGGCGACCTCGTAGTCGTCGTCGTTGAGTTGCGCGAACGCGTTCTCCAGCACGTCCGAGGCGTGTGCCAGGAATATGAGGGAGAGGAGTCGCTTGTCCATCCGTTGGGCGTCGTTCACCCACTTGCTCAGCACGGCGTCTTGAACCTGGAACCCGAGGGGAATCCATGGAGAAACGAGACAAATGCATTTCGCGGTACCTCTTCCAAGAAGGGGCTTCGTTTCGAATCTCGGTCGTGAGTCTTAGAGATTCGCGGGAATCCTTACGAAATAAAATCGTATCGCCCACCTGCATCATCGCGATTTTATCGTCACAGGAGTGGGTCGCCGCACGAGCGGGGAAATCGTGGCCTCCGTTCCCTTTTCTCGACCTCTTTCCGCCAGTGGGATATTTACATTTTATCGGCGAAGAAAGGAAGGGGAAGGGGGGGAGGCGGAGAAAAGTCCCTTTGACGCAAAAATGTAGGAGTCGATTTTGGAACAGAGCACTATCCGATAATGTTGCTTTATTTTCAGGAAATATCAAGCATTTTTCCTGGAATAAAGCTGATTCTTGGTTCTTTCCGACATTCCCACGGTAACGAGAAAAAGTATCAGGGAATACAAAAATTCTCTCTTCGTTTATGAGACCGTCATTCATTCACATAATCTAAATGATTTAATGGGATGGAGGTAGGCAGGGCAACTGCCCTCAAGGTTGACGAGCTGTTGCCCCCCCACCACGGGTAAGGGTTGTCCTATAATATTTGACAATTGATTCTCTTGTGAGTTGTTTCTGACGATGAGTACGCTAGACCCACGTTAATAAAATGCGGAACGGAATTCCGGGTAATTTCTTCCCCCCCCCCCCCCCAAAAAAAAAAAAAAACTCAGAAGCAATTTTCATACCACGTGACCTCGTCCGCTATGTGGCACCGATCCATATAACGATTATGTTTCTATTTCTGACATCGACCGACGTACGCCATGGATTCCGGAGCTCGTACTCCCTCGAACTTCACCAATGGTTTTAGAAACGAAGAACTTTCCGCATCGGGAAAAAAAACATTCAGTAAAAGTGACTTCGGGAGACTAGCCAGAGAGAAAGGGACGCCTGGAACCAGCAGCGTGCCGAGATTCTCAGACGCCCGATTCCGGATCACGACTTTCACCACCACCCCCCCTTTCGTATTCCCAAACCACACAGGCATTTTTTGTCTTTTACTTTTGATTTTGGAGAGCGGGCCTACGTGTCATACCGCATAAAACCTGTTATTAAAACATGGAACGACTCGAAACTATTACGAAATTACGGAACGAAGGAAAAAGTCGACGGGAAGGTTACACGGAGCATTTCCCTTCCAAATACAGGTTCATGGAACACGGTAAAACGGGACGAATCCGGAAAAAAAGTAACAGGTGGTTACCGTAACGGGAATTTTCTCTCTCCATAGAGATAAGGGCAGGAATGTCTCCTTTCGAGTTGTTTTTCTGGCAGGAAAAACGGATCCAGATGGAACTTGTTCAAGGAATAACAGAATATCAGGTTTCGGCTCTGCGTCTCTTTATCGGCAATCTGTACCTCACGTGCAAAGGCAATCGATGGAATTCAGAGCAAACTGGAAGGACGAATTTAAATACCGAGTGTGGTGTAACTCGTATTTCGGGAATTCTGATCCTTTTCCAAGATGCATGTCCTCGGTCACGTCGATATGGACTCGAGATTCAAACGAGGGTAACACCATAGACGTACGGTTAGAATCCTCGACCGGCGTGCGGGCATTCTTTCTTCCGACCGGTGTCGACGTCGAAATCGGCAGAATCGAAACGAGACCGCGAACGAAAGCGGGGGCTCGCATTCCTCCCTGCACCCACGGCGGCAAAACGAGTCGGCGAAATCCCCAGCGTGCCACGCGGGCTGGCAGATGGCGACGGCAGCCCGTCGAAAGCGGCGGAGGGACGTGGCATCGGATCGCAGTCCGAGACTTTCGGCCCGTCGACATCCGTCGCGGATTCGAAGCGGGCGCGTTCACGCCTCGGCCATCCCACCGCCGAGATCGATCGCGTCGAAACCTCGAGAGCGCACGCCGACGAGAATCCCTCCCCGCCGCCAGCTGACGACACTCGTCCTGCCGACGCGACCGAATCCTTCGATCTCGGGCTGCAAGTGAAACCTCCAGAGACCTCCTCCCTCCCTCCCGTAATTAACTCGACTCGCATCCATTATTCAAAGTCATGCAATCGAGCTCTCCTGAAGTAGCTCACCGCACCGGGGGTTACAAAAACATTTGGAACCATACGGCCAAAATCGGCCGTATGTAAAAATATTTGGCACGGCACGAAATCCATACGGCCAAAATCGGTCCCTCACAAGACTCGAGGTCCCAACGAGTTCGGACGACGTACGTGCGGAGCTCATCTGACGTCATTTCGTCGGCTCCATCCACTGCGTATTCCTTCATGACTCACTCGTTATCTCTCACATGCATGGACACAGACCGACAGAAACTCACACACATGGATAAACTCTCTCCCTCGTTCGTCCCGTCCCCCCCTCCCCATTTTTTCTCTTCGTTATCGGCGAATACCCAGCTACCAGACTGGGAATAAATGTGATACGTCCTCGCAATCGGTCCATTGCATTGCACGCTCCCTTCACCCCTCTCCATCCGGTACCGGTTCGATTTCGACTGACTGTTCTTCACCGTGTGGAACTTAGGAAATTCTTCGTTTCGGTAACAGTAGGGTAGAACCAATTACGTTCGGATACGGTCGCAAACATTGGTAAAAAAACTATGCATTCGCAAGGCCGCCTTCAGAAACGGTTTTTCCTAACACGAGATGAACCGAACGAAGGAAAAGCGGTGGTCACGATGGCTTTCCTTGGGGCTTAGGCCGATGCTATATCGCGAATAGGAGGAATTCTTCAAGAAACCATAAGGAGAGAACTTAACTTTTAAAACGTTTCACTGGCGACATTGATTTTTTCTGTGCTCGATTCCTACTTCCCAGAAAACTAGGACAAGGAGTCCTGTTATGCAGAATGCACGAACATCGATCAGATGATCGTCTTACTTTCGGTGCGTCCGAACGTAGGTCGAGAAATGTTCGAGAAACTCAAGTTCGGACATCCATTCGTGCGTGTCATATCCGCATAAATATGACGTCCTCTTCGGATAAAAAACGTTCAGTTGACAAAAGCTCAGTCGAGTCCTGCTTTCCAGAGAACATGAATTTTGGAGCTCTGTCCGAACTTTCCCAACTGGACATGCAACTTCGGACACCTTCGATCACGTACGCAAAAATACAGCATCATTAATTTCTTCGCACACTTGAGTGTGCGGCATGCCTCCAAAGCAGTGCAATCGTGGTAGGCGTTTGGAATGCAAGGGATTGTCGATCCGAGCCTGTTGAAAAGGCCATCAAGGCCTCAATTCGAGTGAGATGTCATTGCGGAAGGCCAACATTGCTCACGACGAACACGTCTGCTAGATAAATTTTCTTCTAGGAGTTGCACCTCCAAATTCGGAGCGGGGATGTGTCCCCGAATTTGGATGCTTTCTGAATTAAGCATGCGGAGAAATACTCGTCTACTGAATGTAACAAACCGTGCCTGCCCAGTCTGCTTGAAAAGAAATTCCGAAAACATGACCCTAATGAAAAATGTGCACCCAAGGGATTTACCACAAGAGTAGGCTTTTTTCCCCCCAGAAATTAGCGACTGGAGAGCAACCAACGTACCAAATTCCAGGTTTCTACATCTGCCACCGCCCGATTCAATGTAGCAAAACATATTTTAAAATATGGCTCCCCCTAAATGTACCCGCAGAAAATATCTCCCAAAAGCTTGATTTCCCCTTATGACTGCATACCAGCAGGTATCTAATTAGTAAGTCTTCAGCCTTTTTTGTCTCCATGATTTTCTGAAACGAAATATCTTTTGGGGAAAGGTCCACCTCAAAAATATGCCCCTGGGAACGAATCCTAACAGTAGCTTTAAAATCTGCATCTCAATAGGTACCGTTGCGCCACGTTTCGGCTTCTAAGTCTCTCAGTTTCGTTGGAGATATGAGAGGCGCATCTCCATCACGGAGATGCGCCTCTCCCCAAAAAAAGTACCTGAAATCCGCACCATCAGTTATTCGTGTACCAAGTTCGAGCTTTCAATCTCATCTAGGACACGCTTAGAATTAAATCAGTCGTTCACTCACTCGATCGTGATTGTCCTATACTATAAAACAGAGAAAAGATCCCAATACTTACCATTCCTTTACACCAAAATGAAGTGTTTAAAGCCTCTTTGATACTTAAAGAGGGGGGGTGTCGGAACTTAATTTTTTTCCGCATCCAAGTTCGGATATACACATTTTAGACAATATCGATAGTCAGAAGCCTTGGAAGGACAACATTATTGTTGCACTACCGCCTCGTGTCGTGTTCCCAGGAGCAAAAAATGAAGCTTCCAGTCTGTACCGTTCAGAAAGGACGAGCGAATGATAAGGCTCGGCCAGCTTGACTGTCCGAACACTGGCGGTTTTACCCATTTGTTTGCAACGAAAATACAGCGTTTCCTTCCTTCGTCATTAGGCTTTAGGTGACAGCCTAAACAAATTGAGTTTAAGTGATAAACCGTCGCGAGTTACGAAATACCCGTCACGTGTCCTGCAAATAGCGAAAAATGTCCCGGAAAACGATGAGAAAGAAAGAAAATAAGTATTAATATATTTCAACAACTTTCGCCAGGGATCTCAAGAGGTTATGAATGAGCACAATGAACTCCTCTTATCGTGACCCAAGCGAGATTTAAAAGGCGGAAAAGCTTTCTTTTCTCTTCCGGTGCCATTGTCTCCGGGCCTTTTTTGACCTGCTTCTCTAGCCGCTATCAGGGAATTAGTTGGGAAAAAAAATTATCTGCGAGTTTTTCGATCGCGCTTCGGCTTCAGGTATCATTCTCTTATTCTCCAAACGCAAGTTCGAAGATTCCATCTGACAGAGGAATGCATTGAAAGGCAATAAAATCCCTATATTTTTCTGATACCGTTTGCTCAGTCATCGATGAATCAATCTGTCAATTTAAGTCGATCTGGTCAATGATGACTCAGGCAATGAAAGGAATGAATGAATTGCATTTTCTTTCTTCTGCTGGAATAAGAGAAGGAAAGTGCGAAGTTACTTGGTCAGGTTTTCCTTATGAATTTTCCTAACTCATAGGAGAATGTCATAGATACTGCCACTCTACAAATACTGGCAATAGGCGATCTGAAATCGTCTATGAAGTTTCCATTCTTTGTTGTCACTTATATATATATACTTGCAAAACTTTCTAAAGCACTGTCTCAGCAATGATATAAGTACAAATTTAAATCGCGTCATAGTGAGAATTATCTTCCTTTATAGTAAGAGAAGGCAATTTAAAAATGGACCTATTTTTAACTACTTGAGTTCAAAACCAAACGAATTCTCGATGAACATTCTTCAATCCAGCACCGGGGGAAGAAATTAACCAATGAAGTGAATCAGACCGACCTTCTTTACAAGTTTCCCCTTGATGTTGTTATCCTTGAGTGGGTGGGTTGTCATGTCAAAGAGAAGGAAATTCTGCTTCTCTGTTGAACAAACGCCCTTCTCCACCAGATTCTTGGCCAGCCGCTCACGAACGTTTCTCAGTTGGTACTTCAGCTTTGTTGGGATCCAGGTCTCTCCTGACAAAAACAAAAAAAACAAGATCCAATCAGTTGCAGTCTCACAATCAAAGGAAAGATGCCAATGGATTTCCCTCTAACCACTGAGGTATTCAATCCAAGTCTGGACGGTTTCTGGGGGATCTGTGTCTTTGATGTGTTTTAGTGCTTCATCAAGAAGAACATCACCAGTGGGAGCAGCATTCTTCACAACAACTCGGCGATTTGTGAGACGTCGAGTTCGGTACCCGCTCTTCTCCAGTTCGATTCTATCCCTCACAGCAAGTTCAATCAGGATGCAACCTCGAAGCCCCGAACTGATGCAGTCATTCCAGAATGATGTGTAGCCCTGATAAATGATTGAATGTCATTTTTTTCCATTTACTTTCTAAGTGCCACCTCTCATATTATAAAATGGGAATGTATAACCTGCAAAGCACATGGATGACTTGCTGTAACACTGAAGTGGAAATTCATATTTTATATCTGAAGAAAGAAAGCAAGAATTCCATCCTGTCTAAAAGAACAAAAATCAAACTCAATCCTGCCCCATCATCAGTTTCAGAGCAATATTTACTGTGAATCTAGAGTGACAGGACTGAAACACCAGAAAATAGACCCTTATCCTCTCAATCCAGCAAGGTCTATATAGGATCCATTCAAGGGAAAGTTTTAAATGTATTGATATGTACCCAAAACTCTCCATTAAAGGCAAATTTATTCATATTGACTGGCTTCAGTGGTAAGTGATTCACTGAATCACATTGACAAACCCAACCTAAAACCAATGAAATGAGAAAGGGTGATTGCTTAAGACATGAACTTACTTCTTTATCCTTTAGTCCAAGAAGGAGGACTTCTTCTAACAGAGTGAGGCGAGTTTCCTTAGAATCTCCATCTTCAGGCTCAGGCTCTTCCTGCCTTCGTTTCAAATCATAGATGTCATCACTCCTGGCTCCGCTTTCAGCACTTGAAGCCTCTTTAGCAGCATTTCGTCTCAATACGAGCCCTTCTCGTCTCTGATCCATCATTACACCACCATAGGCTTAAGTGAAAGTCACAGACTCGGACCACTACAAGGTCAATTGAGTTCAGGCCAAAATCTTGGCCTTAACAAAGAGTCAATAAGATTTCACTGGTCACAGTTCAAATGCAGATACTATACCTTCAAGAAACGCAATTCAAGTTTTTTGAGGAATTTCTGCGAATAATCAATATCCACAATGCAGCAAACCCGAAGCTGATTGATTATTAAGCACATCGATTATCTGTGTCCAAGACAGAACTATGTAGGCATAGGCAGGAAGAGAAAACAGCTCACCATTGCTCACTAGAAAAATGGACAAATGGACATTTGTACAGTCCCAGCCAAGAAACCACCAAGAGGCACCCAATACCTGGTAAGCCCAGTTTGACAGGAAAACTTCCATTCCTCATTCTGTTCAAGCTTTATGGCTACTACTTCATGTAATACGTCCATATTAGTGCTGGATCAAATAATGGGCAGAATACAAATGCTTATGATAACTGGTTTCAATTAGCTCTGCTTCAATGGAGAACATTTGCATACATGCTACTGTGGGCCACATTAAGACAGATACCCAATACAGTACACCATTAAAATCAATAGGTTCTGTGACTAACCAAAAAAAATCATGAGTGCAACTGAGGCCTCTTATTGAATCAAAAGAATTTCTGTTTGAGAGAAGTGGTAGAGTGTGGTGTCTATGTCAAGCCTGTACCATCTTTCTCCCTCAATACAGTATTTATATGACATCTGTTGGAATGTGTCTGCCATGTGCCCCATTAAAAAAATACTTATGGTAATGTTCACAATTAAACTAGTTAAGGTTTCACTATTCAGTGATAGAATTACAAATAAACTTTCTCTTAACACATTGATGCCAGGAACTGTAATATTACGTTTTTTAAACCCATATTGTTCTGCAGTCGCTGGGTGGGAATGTGTTAAGGCCTAAGCTAAGTTCATAAGTCTATTGGGCAAAAGCTAGTACCGTAGCTAGGCTTTCACAAAATAGCATTTTTTGGGAATATGTCTAGTGCAGTGCTTTCCAGATGACCACATTTGGCCTACAGAACTGGCAATTTCAGGAGCAAGATAGATTAGGCCTAACAAGAAAGTAGAGCATAGTTTCAAATGGGACATATTTGACAGGGAGCCAGTCTCAAGGATACTTTCATTTGGCCTCTTAAATTTTCATTATGCATGAATGACATCAAAAAGCTGTCATCAGGTAAGAGGCTAATTGGTTCTGATGCCCTCATCTATTAGGAAATCCATACCAATGACAATCATGTATAGCACTCTGTTAATCAACATTTAAAAAAATTATAAAAATGTGAAGAACAATGTTATAGCAGAAATCAGAAAAGTAAAAGACATCACAGAATTGAACTACATACATAGCTCAACTGGTGAAAGACAAAATGTCTTCAAATATAACGATGGTGGGGAAACAGAAACCAAGCATATTCAGTAATAAAAAAAAGGCAAAAGAGGAAAGCAATTAATAAGGATGTACATTTAAAAAATTGCCTCAGGGGTTCCTAAAGAACCATGAGATTCGTGTTCATAAGTGTTCCTATAATATATTACAAACATGCTCCTACTATAATACTGTGTACATTCAACCCCATTGCATACATAAAAAGTTAGATACCTTTTATGATGTGATTGACCACAACTGCTACCCAGTTAAAAAAAAATTGGGGCAGATCATCCAGGCAACAAAGTAATGGAGTTTGCCTTCTGCATAGCTTTTTATACTGTGACCAAGAAAAACATAACTTTTAATCCAGCCAGGAGGCAGGGGCAGTGTTGTAACATTAAGCCATCCAGTTTTCTGAGTATACAAAAACTGATGAAAATGACCTAGTGGGCACATAAACAAGGATTACTGGTTTGTCCATGGCTGCCCAAGGTAGAACAATGACTGATTGTTACTAGTTCCTTTCAATTGCAACTTCTCAGGTTTCCAGATACTTCCATAAGAGTAACAATGGGCACAGATACTGCCAAGAGAGAATACCATTTTTGTTGGGGCAACAGGGCTGGTTAGGATCCTATTTACAAGGTGGAATGAATTTGCCAGAGTGTCAGTTGATGCATGTCTTGGTTGATAAAATGGTGTAGTATAAAGCCTTTTTTTTTTTTAAATAAAATAAAATTTACACTGTAAAAGTGTCAAGATACTTTTAACCTAACCACCACACACATTCATTTAGCTTATCTACATCAGCAAAAGTATCAATAAATAGAAGTTGGACTTAGTAACTACTGAAAGTTTATACCTTAATGCCCACATATTCAGATGAAACTGTTTTATATTATGGGCACATTGTGCACCTCACTTGCCAACTCAATGATCTGATTCCATGTGCATTTTCAATATTTGATTTGAATGCAATGAAAGGGAACTTTTAAAGAAATGTTGCATCAAGTACCAAAACTAGTTTTCACAATGGTCCTCCACACTCTAAAAATGTTAAAGAGACTAGGCATGGAAGCAAACCAAACTTTAAGAGTTCAGAACTTCCATAGAGCCCATAATAAAAGAAAAAACAAAACTTTCATTTTCCTGCCAAACTGACTATAGATATCCCATCCATGCATGTTCTCCACAAGTCTTGGTGAGCAATGTGAAGGTCAGAGCATTGCTTGATTTGAAGAAGTATTAATACTAATGACACCTCCCATATAGGCCTACACTTACATTTGGAGATGTGCATGACTCTGCTCACTAGGGATCCTATCTTTCAAGGAATTAAGTCAAATTGATGCTTCAATCAATGGTGACCAAATGGCTGAACTTTGGAATCTGTTACTATGCTTTTGGAGCAAAAAGACTGACAAGTGTTAACAGTTCCATAGCACTTGGAATAGAGTTGACACTTTGAGCACAGAGTGTTGCTAACACAATATTCCATGAAGGGCAAGTTCAACTGTTGGAGTAAACTCTCCCTGTCTCCTCCCTTTCTCTCAGGAAGGGTTAACGGGTTAACTGTTGGAACAACCCTAATAGTCAAATCAGGTATAATTTAAAAAACCTTTATACCAAGGGTTGGAAATGTAAGAATCTCAAATGTACTCAGAGAAAGATGACAAGTTTAAGCATGAATAAAAGGGCATAAATTGAAGAAATAAAAGGAAATATGACAGGTCATACACAACGGTTCAAGAATCACATAAGAATCCTGCACTGATCAACAGGTCAAACAATTTCAACTTGAACAAAAAAAGCTTTTTAAGCTAAAAGCAGCTTTAAAATAGAAGTAGATATAGAACTTAATATTGCTTATCTTAACTATACCAACAACATAGGATGTCTCTTAAAAACCCTCAAGGCACATCTTGAGGGTAGGCCTCCGAGTACTGGAGAGTAAGAAGAATAACGTTAGGCAGACAAAAAGGCAGAACAATGCAAATCGGAATCACGCATTATTGGGCTTTAACTCAACGGTTACTGTAACTTGTGACAAAGGTTAGTAGGGTTTAATGCTCGCGAAATAACCCTTTCTAAAGGGATTAATGAAGATGAAATGGCACACACGTCAAATAAACACGGGTGACGAAGACCTGGGTGGTTTGGGCATCCTCGATTCTCTCCATTGAAACCTGCGCTGTGACTAAAGTCACAGTCTGAAGTTATTTTGTATCACCAACAGTGAGATTCGTATAACATAAGATTGATTCACTGGAGGTATTAATCTTATGTGCATTTGTTTTCTACCTTCAGACTATCGTCAGTTCAAAAAACTATAGGCTTATGGAAGCTCTCTATGTAGAACAGCATGGATGCACGCATGTGACCACGAGGGAGAGTATGGAAGACCAGGTGTGTCCCCGTTGTAAAACCACCAAGTACCGCAATCCCTCACTGAAACTGCTGGTGAATGTATGCGGACATGCACTTTGCGAGAGCTGCGTCGATCTTCTTTTCATTAAAGGTGGGAATTTGTGGGCTAGTCTGCTGTAGCCTACGATTGAGCCTAGGACTCTAGGCTATTGTAGGCCACAAAATCTAGCGTAGGGATGTAATTTTTTTTTCATTTGAGTTTTCCGTTCTTTTGAGTGATGGCAATAACATGTGACCATAGGTCTCTATTTCTTTCCATGCATGAGCGTTGAACAGGCCTGGAAAAACCTGTGGCACAGGTATACAGTAAACACCGGAGCTCGTGTCATTGGTGGCGTGAACGGGACTACGTCTGCTGTCGACGCTGAGCAGAACTTCGCATCCCTATATGTCATACTGTGCTTTATACTTGTTTTTGAGGAAGTCTAGCAGCAAGACTTAGTATTATGAAAAACCACCAGTGTTGCTCTAGTATTAGGAAAAAGGCAACAGTAGCTTCCAGGAAACTCAGAGGGAAGCCTCCATACCACACATATTTACCAGTGTGCTCCATCTTTTTTTGACTCATCGTACTCCCAGTCCCAGCTTCAATTTTTATTTATCTTCTTAGATCACAACTCTTCATCTTACATCCTCAGGTTTCTGTCCCTCCTGACCCCAATTTTTTGATAGGCAGTGAAATATATTTTTAAAAATATGTACTCCTTCATGTCTTTGCTCAAGGTAGGACTCAAGATAAACTGGAAAATAACACCATAGGATCACTGCAAATTGAAACAAAGTCTACTGCTTACTGGTCAGTTGTGGTAACCTCTGCACCACTGAATTCCAGGGCATTGAGTCACTCCTCACCAAATTTTACTTATCCAGACATCTAGGAGGCTTCTGAGGGTGGGGAATTTGAGTGTGTTGCCTGAAGATATATTAGGTGGTACATTTTAATGTGCTGAGACTTTTGCATTTATTTCTAAACTTCCAGATAAGGCAGACACCTAAAAATCTTGCCATGTAAACATCTATCTTCCCTTGCAGCCCTGTGAAAACTATAAATTTTAAGCCTTGAGAGTATACCCACAGAGGCTGAATGAGTAAGACACCTTGCAAAGTTTCATATCTCATAGTTTGAAAGGAACTCCACAAGTGTGGTATGACATGGTGAGTGACCTCTTTCTCTATGCCAAAATCTAGCTTTTGAGTTGAGTGATCCAAGATAGATCACTTTATTTACCAACAGAGTGCCAACATTCAACAGGCCTGGAATGAGATCAACTTTGAGTTCTTTGAGCCCATCATTTACGAAAAGAGAGATTACATGTTGTGTTCAATGGGAAAGGAGGACCCCTTGTGTAAACTTTCGGATAAGATTAGGCATGATATGAAAATTTTCAAAGTGCCTGAGTCAAACAGCTTCTGTGGGCATACTCTCAAAGCTAGAAATTCACAGTTTTCATGGGGTTGAGAGGAAAGATGGATGTAATACTTGGCATGATTTGTAGATCTTCACCACATCTAGAAGTTGAGAAATAAATGCAAGAATCTCTGCACTTTTTTTTTGTGCACCAGGTATAATCCATGGTGATGTCTATCCACTGAGCTGCAACTTCATGCATGTTAACCCTCATACCTGATGAGCACTTATAATTTTTCATTTCCCTTTTGCAAGCATTTCCTGTCATATGTACTTTTAAGAATGTAAAAGTCAGATCAGAAACACCAAGGTCTGGAGCTGCTAGACATGCCTGTGTTGAATCTAATAGTTAAAAAATAGGTACCAAGAAGTTTCAGTAGTCATTGCCAGAAAGCAGTAGTGTATGTGGTTTCAACAAGAGGAGATCCATGTTCTTCAGGCTAAAAATGTTAGATTTTGATTGCCCAGTAAATATTATTGATAGAAGTATCGTCCCTGCTTGGCTGCAAATTACTAATACTGTAGCAAGTTAACCATTAAGTAATGATGGCAATCTGATGATTATCTCTGTTTCTTTTGACAGGGTCTGGGTCATGTCCCCAATGTCAGATCCCCCTACGCCGAAACAACTTCCGCATTCAACTCTTTGAAGACTCCTACGTCGAGAAGGAAGTGGACATTCGAAGACGCATTTTGAAGGACTTTAATAAGAGTGAAGATGACTTCCCTGATCTCAGAGAATACAATGACTACTTAGAAGAAGTGGAGACAATAATATTCAACCTTGCCAACAACATTGATGTGGATGAGACAAAGCGAAGGATTGAGCAATACAAGCGTGACAACAAGGACCAAATCGCAAGAAATCGAGTCAGGCCGAGCCAAGAGGACTTAGAACTTGAAGAAATCCTCATTAACGAGAAGGAGCTCCATGAACTCCGCAGCCAGGAGTTTGTAAAAGAAGAAAAGAAGGAAAAGCTGAGGAAGATGAGAGAAAAGGAAGCCCTCATCGATGATCTGATGTTTTCTGAAGGAGATGCTAAGCAGATTTTGGCCATGCATTCCATCAAGCCAGCAGCCAAAGAAGTTCAGCAGCGGACTGAGACGAGGAAACCGGCGACACAGTTCTCAACTGGTATTGCCATTGGACATAAGGGATCATTTGTCCCTCCACCCAAAGTGTCAGAAGCCCTTTTGTACTCTTATGTGCCCCCTAAAGTGACTCTTTGTGGTCCTGATGTGCCAGAACCAGAGAGACTGTCAAGTGATGGGTACTTGAAGCATGTACGGCAAGCAGATGATGCCTCTATGGCAAGCGGTTTCAGAACAGATTATGCATGTTACCGAGCCCTTCAGGAAGCCTTCATTGGACTCTTCTTTTTCAATCGATCGGATCCTTTGGAAATGGATACCAGCTGAAATGACAGAAATGAAAGAACTGTTGAACGACACAGCTGACAGCATTAAGAACGCAGAATAAAGGCAAAGCAGCATGTTCTTGCATCACTCAGTCCATATATTTATTGTTTTTCTGTACAGCACACAATCACAGATTTCACAGGAGTAGATAGGACAAAAGGAATTACATGAGTATTTTTCTCTGGAAGTTTACTATGAATATTCATCAAATGCACATGAAGAAATGAGAAGGTTGGAGCCTAAAGATACTTTGGTTGTTTTCAACACACATCAGGTTCAGAAGTTGATCAGAATATTTGTGGCTGAAGTCAGCAACCCATTTCACCTCACAGTTGCAGCTGAGGGGATTCCCTGCAAAAGTATAAAGCAAGTTGAAAGGGTGGCATTGAATGCTTCACAAGAAAGTTGAGAACCATCTACAAATACTCATATCTACATGTGTTTTTATTAGTATAACTTACTCTTTAATCTCTAATACTGTCAGTGTTTCAAACTGCACTGAGTGTTTTTGTGTGGTAAATTGAAATATTGTTTTTCAACAAACTAATCAAATTTGTTCCTTAGCAATATATGGTACAATGATGTCACTCAGTGGCTACCTCTATAGAATAGATATTTCTTTCCAAACTAACAAGCAACAGAACTATCCATAGCTCTAAACCATAACTTAAAAGTCAATGGTATGAGAAGTATGTTATTTCTGTCATAAAGGTTCTATGTTGGTGAAGATCTTGTAATTGTTTCTGGTTGTCTGTTAGCTGGCTTTTCTGATGTATAATGCAGTAGACATTGCTTTTTGTGGTCAGGTTGAAACAAGGAAATTTAATGGCAATAAGCAGCTGATAACAATAAGCAGTGGCAATCAATGCACAACCCATCAATTTTAGTTTTTTGAGATTTGATCACATTATCTGGCTGATAACAATAACCAGTGATCACAATAAGCTGCACACTGTATTTACAACCAAGTTTGCTGATGCTTACTTCACATCCATATACTGCTAAATGCAGACTTGGGAGTTCACAAAAGAATAGGAGGTTGCTTTTGTGTATATATCAGTAGTTTATACGGAAATTTATATAATTTATTCAGGAAGCAAAGTATTGATGTAGAACTATTCAAATTTTTTGTTATGTAATTGACTGATAACAAATGTTAATGTTTTTTAAGTATTCAATGCAGTTTGTTGATAAATTATTATATTCAAGCATATTCATGATGTAGTTATAGTTTTTGTAAACCAGAGGGAAATAATATTTAATACTCTCCTATTGCAGCAAGTGTGAATGGTAAAACTGGCTCACCAGCTAAGTTGATGCTGTAGGGAGGGAGGAGAGGGACAGAGGCTACAGGTCCAGAGATAGTGTTTATTTGACGCTTGGCCCGAAGTCGCTCCAGAAGATTTGCAATCATCCGCTTCTTTCTCACTTGAGGAGTGGGATCGGGATTTGTGTGCGTTGCTGCCCTTTCCACTGCCTTGGCAGCATTCATAGCTGCTTGTTCCACAGCCTTGGCTGAAATTCCAGCCGCTTCAGCGGCTGCCTGCATAGCTCCGGCTGCCATCTGAGCCGCTATCTCGGGCGACAGACCGGGAGGGTCGATTCCTTTTCTCGCCATGTCCCTCATGACCTCGACAGCAGCAGTTTCCACGGCTGCAGCTGCACCTGCAGCGGCAGTCTCCACCACAGAAGCCGACATCGCAGCTGCTTCAGCTGCACGTTGCACAGCTGCAGCTGCGGCTGCTGCAGCCTAAGTGTGAAATGTGACATGACTATTTTGTGCAGAGGATTTTTCTTTTGACTCGTGTCTATGCACGACTTTAAGCTTCACGTAGCCTACTTGCAACGTTTGAGTAGCACTTACACGAGGGTTGGCCTTGATTGCAGCAAGGAGTTCCTCACGGAGTTGGAAGATCAAGTCAGGCGCAGCCTCGGCTACTGCAGGTGAAGGAGGGGCTGCTGTAGTCGGAGGCTGAGGCTGAGGCTGAGGAGGAGGAGGAGGAGGAGGGGGTGGTGGTGGGACTGGGGCTGGGGCTGGGGTGATGACAGGCCGAGCTGTGGTGGTGGTCGTGGTTGTGGTGGTGGAAACGGTCGTTGGCGGGGGTGGAGGAGGTGGTTCGGTAACGACAGGCTGACTAAGTAGAGGAATCAGCTGCTGTGGGGCAGCTGGTTGAGGTTCAGCTGGTAGAGCTGCTTTCGCACCTGGCTGTGGAACCCCTGAGAACGACGAGAAGAACCATCAGTGTTCCGCATCGACGAGAAAGAAGAATGGAATGAAGCATCGGTAAGGATGATAAAAAAGACTCGGCATCGAATGAATCACCTGTGATAGCAGCCAACCTCTCCAGGATCTGAAGGAGGAGATTTTGAGTCGGATTGGACTCGGGTGCTCGACGAGGTTCGGCCAGAGAATTCCCCGCAGCGGAAGGAGACAACGAAAAGAAAGAGAAGGGAGCCGCGGTCGTGGTCGTGGTCGTGGGCTCAGAAGCCGTCTTCAAGAAGTCCAAACGACTCAAGAACGGCTCCCATTCCAACCGATCCAGGGTGCTGATGGTGTTGGAGGACAGGTCGATGTGCTTCGCCAGGGCTCCCGTGCCTATCATACATCAAAAGGAACATGCCCACCTGCAGTATGAAACTTGACAGCTACTGTTTGCAAACCGAGTGGGGTTATTTGTACGAGACGATGAATTACGTGATCGAGAAATATCAAGAAAACCATCGATATTTTCATCGACGAGTCACGAATCGACCGAGGGACCTATGCGAACGCGAATCCCCGTTCTTCGATGAACCCACCGGAAAACAAGTTAACCCATCCGGAATGCTAACGAGATTGAGCAACCACCGACCAGGGACGCTGCTCGAAAATGCATCCGGGTCAATGCTAGTGATCCGGTTGTGACTGAGGTCGACGAGGGCCGGCGCCACGTCGAAGTACAGCCCCCCCGACGGGATCTCCGCGATCTGGTTCCCCGACAGGTCCAGCCGCTGGAGGGCCGGGAGCCCCCGGAAGGCGAAGGGCCCGATGTCCAGGATCACGTTCCGTTGCAGGTGGATCTCTCGGAGGTTCCGGGAGATCCCGTCGAAGGCGAAGTCCGGCACCTCCAACAGTCGGTTGTCGTTCATCCAGAGCAACTCCAGATTCGTGAATCTGCGGGGGGGAAACGAACGACGATGAGCCCGACGAATGCAGGCGTTGCGAAATTTCAAACAATTCGAACAGATGAACGATTGACATTCGTAACGAAAGAAACGTCTTGCAATGAAGATGCTGGCCCTCTCAAGATGACAGCTGAAAGGGAGGAGATAGTCCAAATGCTCTTTATGGACAGAAAGGGGATCAAGAATGAAAAGAGAGAGAAAAAAAAAGGAAGCGAATGGCCATTGTCTACGGACCGCTCTGCCGATTTTCTGTCATTCCTGGAAGTCGATGCTTGCCTTCTTGTCGTTTTCCCACAGCCGGTCGATCGTCGAACGGCCGACAACAATTACCGAAAGTGATTCATTCTCGGCTCCATCGACCGAAAGTCATCGATGTGACCTTCGCTTTCTTTCCTTACCGATTTTGCCGATACAAAATCGACCTCGGTGCTCCGTGGGCAATCGACTGTTTCTTTCGTGGCAGTTTTCGCAGATACCATCGGACCGATCTCATCATTTTTTAAGTCGGTCGGCAGAAACCAGATACACCGCGGAAACTACGGGGATGCTTAAAACGAATCTGGTTAAATGATACTTGGACGCATTTTCACAGCACATGCCACGTAGGATTCCACGTTGCACGTAGTCGAAAGCAAGAAGCTGGATTTCGAACCAAATCTGAGTGTTCGCATCGAGTTCAATATTTGCCAAGCGCCAGATCGCAGCCCCTCGAAATTTGAACATTTCTTCCCTCGTTTCGAGGCTCGACGGCCTCGCTGGCAAGGCCGACCGAGCAACCCTGCGCGAAAAATCCGCAATCGGACAACCCTGACTGCCGTCGCCTCGCCGTCGACGGAGCATTCGCACGCTGGCGCTCGGAGGAGACGGGTGCGAGTCGGCTCGCAAGTGCATTCTCAAGGTTCCGAAGGGCTCCGGACGCTCGACGACGCTTAGTCTTTCCGCCCCGAACGAAGGAATTCTTTTTCTTCGACCGAGCGACCAAAACGATCGAAGAGAACCTAATTTGACTGCTAAAAAATGTCAATGCTCGATGATAGGCTCATGAGCGTAGCTGAAACTGCAAGCCGATGGCACCACACACATACCGAAGTAAATGATCGCTCGTACGCGTACCGCCTTAGTTCGAAACGAGAACGATTTTAAGCCTGTGGAACCCGAAAGCCACGCACGCCGGTCTGGAGCTGCGGTCGAGGGCGAATCGGGGGAAACTCGGGCGGAGTTCCCTCGGGATTTCGGTCGAGAATGGGAAACGGACGAGGACTCACGCTTGGAAATCCTTGAAGTTGACGCTCTCGAGGATGGGATTGTTGCGGACGGAGACGGACTTGGGATTCGCGTTCTCGCCCCAGGCCTTCGGTTCGATGGACTCCATGACGGGGTTGTTCTCGATGATGTACTCGTCGGCGTGGGCCAGGCCGAAGGAGTTCGCCGGGAGTTCGGTGAGTTTCGAGCGGCGGACGACGATCTGGGAGAAGTAGACGGGAGGACGGATGTTGAGGCCTTCGATGCGCTCGAGGTCGGCGGGGTCGGAGGCGAGGGAGCAGTCCAGGATGGGTCGTCCGCCGAATTTCGGGTTCGGGCTGCATTTGCACACGCCGAGGTTCGGGGGACAGGCCCACGCCCCGAGGATCGGCGCGGCCAGGAGGAGGAGGAACGGCAACGACATTCTCCGGAGGGAGGACGAACACTGGAGGCTCGCTCGATCGCCTTGGATGCTTATAAACGGGAGGAGATTACGATCGGACAAGGACTCATCGACGGCGAGGCCGATGAGGCGTGGAGATTCTTCGCTTTCCGGACTCGGGGATCGTCTAGGTCTCACGGATCCACGGGGGATCCGGCGAAGGAAAGGATGTTAAGGTCGACTCGGGATGTCGGCTCGTGCGTCCGGTCGGGCGGGCGTCCGACTCGATCCGATACGGATCGGTCGTCGAATACGGCGAATGAGCTCATCGACTGAACACTGTAAA